CATGAAGGGCTTTTTCTCGCATCCAAATAGAAAACTGACAGTTAAAAAATGGAGGCTGATCTGTGGATGCATTCATACACAAATTGTACATTCATGTAGGTTTGATTTAATGTACAGTAAGTGCGTCGATCCTCTAAAGCTACCCGGCTTCCGCACAAACGTAACACTGTTAACAGAATGATCATCCCTTTTCTTGATTCTGTCTCAAGTCCAGATGCCTGTGATTGCTTGTATGTGTGACAGGTAGAAGAGCGGCACTTTGTCTTTTTTTAAATCCAGATTTTGGACTTTTATGTGCAGCTCTTTGGTGTCCTGTCAACTGGAGACAACGTTTTATGTGAGATTGAATTGTGTCAGTACTGCTTCGTCTGCTATGCCCTTTGCTTTTTCTCAGTCGCCCTTCAGTAATGGAAGCATGATGGATGATGTAGAGAAGAATGGAAGTCTGCAGTGTTAGGATGCTGCGCATTTCAAATACCTATTTCAACTGCCCATCAATTTTAACGAAGTGTCCACAGGGTCTTTTCGTCCAAGCGAGCTCGAGTTTCTCTTTCAAGGAACTGAATTATGATCTAATCGAGAGATGGTCTACAGAACGGCAAGAACCGGGATTCAAACTGCATTTTAAATGTCGCTAAAAATGAATCTATCCAAATATTTGTATATCAGATTGATTGTATTTATGAGATGTAGAAATAAAAGTGTGAGTGTGCGTTTGTGTGTGTAGAGCAACTAATTTTTCTGATATGCTTTGACAAAATGCATTTATGATTGATTGAGATGACAGATTCATATTCTTCATATTCTGATCACCTGTATTGGCCGCTTCTGCAAATAAATCTTTATCTACATTGTAAAATGAAAGATAATTTTATTCAAAATACTTCTTGTCATTTAATTGTTGTGATTTTTTTTTTTTTTTTTTATTCAATCATTAGTCATCCCAATTATTATTATTTTATTTTAATTTTTTTTTTGTAGACAGATTTTAACCCCTTTCTCACTTTTGTTTCAGAGAAGCAGTTGTGGTCTCCAGTGTTTTAGACTCCCTCATGTAAAGTTATGGACAGAAAACTATAAATACAAAAGGTAGAAATGGGTAAAAAAATCATAATAAAGGTATTTTTGGCCCTCTGTAGCACTTTGAAAGAGATGTCCTCTGGTTTCATTCATTACATAACAGTTTAGAGTCTCGGGAAAGTATAACTGTCAGCTGGGAATGCAAGCAAAAATACTACCACATTTATAACTAGTAATGCACTTGCGAACAAAGAGAAGAATGTGGTACTCTAAGCAGCAGTAAATGTGGGGTACACACTGATTCTGCAGTATTGTTTGTGCTGTTGGAAAACAGATACAATGGCATTACAATCAGCAAAAGGAATCTCGAAAGCACCAATTTGTTGCGATCCGGTTTTGAGTGTGCATTCCTCTGCGCCATATCCTTCAGGGTAACGAGAAAATTATGTCATTCACGTAGATTACTGATTGGCAGAGCTAACTCGAAATTTCAAGTTACTTTTAATAAGATGAAATTT